TCTTTGCTCAGCAGTATGCATGGTGCCACAAAATGAACTTTGTCCCCGCCCTTATGGAATTTAACATCTCTTTAATACCAGAGGCTTAGATTGACATCATTACCTTATGAAAAATCGCTTCTCTGTTCTTTGTCGTGGAAGTAGTACATTTCATTGCCAGGCCTTGTTAGTGGTGTCCTCTTTTGCACCTAATGAAATGTTTAAAGAAAGCATGCCTAAACTTAGAATGATCATCTGATTTTATCTGATCCTCTTATATTTTTCAGTGGTTTTCAACCTGCCTTGATCTCTTAGTATGATACAGTTCTTTATTTTACTTTATTTTTTTAAATTCTTTTTAAGATTTTATTTATTTACTTGTCTCAGAGAGAGAGAGCACAAGCAGGACGAGTGGCTGTCAGGTGGAGAGGGAGAAGCAGGCTCCCCACTGAGCAAGGAGCCCGATGTGGGACTCCATCCCAGGACTGGGATCATGACCTGAGCTGAAGGCAGACACTTAACCGACTGAGCCATCCAGGCACCGTTCTATTTTAGTTGTAGAAATTTCTACTAACTTGTGTACAAATATTTTTCAAAAATACTAGGTTTTTATTCACATTTTTATTCAGATAATTTTTACAAAATCCAAAGCTGTTTGCAGCTCTGTGGAAATTAGCGAGTTTTCCCCTTCTCCATCTGTAGAGTTTTACTTGCTTAAATGTATAAAAGGCTCTAACACTGGGTCTCAAAAATGTCTAATGGTCAAAAAATGTCACTGGCTTTTGGTATTTTAAGACTTTTATTCCCTTTTCCTTTCTTTGATTTGATTTGTAGATCCTGTACACCATGGAGTACTTTACCTCCTTCTTCTCACTGGATTATATATTGTATTCTGAAACAGCAATAAAGCATGTTCAGTCACTTTCTTTTGAATCCCGAGAATGAGCTCCAACCAAATGGCAGCTAGCCCCAGCTTTTTCTTCAGCCAAAATTACATCTGCATTTTCCATTACCTCACTTCCATGCTTTTTGCCCTCATTCTTTTTTATATATTTAAAATTCCTCTAACATTCTTTAATGGTAATTCTCTGAGGTTTACTTTAGATCACTTGAGAACTTGTGATATAAAAAGGCTGGGGCTAGGGTTACATTAACTTCTTTACCCTGTTCATAGTCTTTAAGAGCTTTTATCTTAAAAATAAATAATGTGTAGCAGCTATACAGATCTACATTTTAATTGTAAGCAGAATCCGATTCCCCCAGTTCCAGCAGCTTTGCTGGTGGCATTTCTGGTTGTTGATGTTTCAGTAATTGCAGCAAAAACATTTTACAATTTTTTTGAGCAAACCTTAATGGGAAAAGAATAATAAAAATCTTAGTAACTGACATTTATTTAGTACTTAATTTTGTGTGCCTGACTCTGTTTTACATAAATTATCTAATTAACAATTTTATGAGGTAAGTGATACTATCATTGTTCATATTTTACAAGCGAAGAAACAGAAGAGGTTAAACTGACTTGCTATAAAGATAGACATTATAACTATTTCATTTATAGTTCAAAGAAAGTATTAGGGCATAATATTAGTATTTTGGGAATTTGTATTGAAATTAAAATTTTGAGTTTGTCAGTCTTCCTATAATCATCTATAAAATTACAACTTAATAACTATTAACTCCACTGATAAAATTAAGTGAACTTATTTTTAAATGGCTTTAGGGGATGAGGGGGAAGGGACTTGGCATTGTAAGTACCATCATTCTTTTCTAACTTGGTTATCTTTCACAGACACTAAAAAGACTAAAATTTTGTTAAGCTATAATTTTAACTTACTATTAAGTATATAAAAATCATTAGTACAGGTTTATAAGTAATTTTGAACATTTTCATAATTTCAGAAGTTTTTATACACTTACTATATTATTACCAGTAGGAGTCCTAAGAAATAAAACACTAGAAGAATTGGCACTCTCAGGGCACTTGGGTGACTCAGTCGGTTAAGCGTCTGCCTTCAGCTCAGGTCATAATCCCAGGATCCTGGGATGGAGCCCGATATCGGGCTCCCCACCCAGCGGGGAGTTTGTTTCTCCCTCCCCCTGCTCATCCTTGCGCTTGCTTGCTGGCTGTCTCTGAAATAAATAAATAAAATTTAAAAAAAGAAAAAAAGTATTAGCACTCTTATGTCATGACTCATAGAGTCTAGAGTCAGGTGAGCACTAGACTGAAAATTTGCTTGTTATTCTCTACCAGGCTTGGAGACTTGAGGATAAGTTTATTTGTAGATACCTACTGAATTTTAAGGCATTGTCTAATGTTAGCATTATTCAAAATTGGAACTTTTTAAAGTCTCTGTGTCAGAGATGTCAAGTTTCCTAGACATTGATGGTATCTCCCATTGAGTACAGAATAGCATCTAAATCATTCTTAGGATAAGTTTCATTTCATTTGTTAAAAATAACTGAAGGGGTCGGGGGTGGGAGGTTAGGGGAGCTTGGTGGTGGGTATTATGGAGGGCACGTATTGCATGGAGCACTGGGTGTGGTGCATAAACAATGAATTCTGTTACACTGAAAAGTAAATAAATACATAAATAAATAAATAATAGAAATAACTGAATCCTTTTGTAAACCAGCTCCAAGATTACAGTTCAGTCATATTGAAGGTAGAGCAACCATGTCTTTATTCCTAGATAACATGCAAAGTAGCTAGCTGTTGGACACAAGTGACCTATTTAATCTCTCAGAAGATCCTCATTTGGCTGAAATTCCTACCATGAATATCCATCCTCACCTTAGTTTTTCTTTATCTTTTCTTACAGTCTGGTTTCTTCACTAACTGCCCTAATAGCATGACATAGCTCTGTTAGGTTTGCAAATGAAGATCATGGATCAAATAATTTTATGTCTGAAAACTTGGGTAGTATTTCTTTTTAACACAGTTGTTGATCACCTGCTCTATGCAAGGCACCATGGTAAGTGTGGCAGAAAGTACATAGATGAATAGTAATAATCTGATAGCCAAAGTCTACAGAGTCTTTACATTTTACCACATATACTACCTCATTTGATTTTTGTAGTAACTACGTAAGCTAGGTACTGTTCATATCCTCATTTTATAGATAAGAAAGTGGAGTATAAAAAGCATCCAAGGTAGCACGGCTAGGAAATTGATAGAATTAGGCTACAAATCCAAGCAGTACTGACTTTAGAACCTACCCTTAGCTGTCATACAACTCTGGTGCTTATTTTCTGATCTCCAGGAACTGCAGAACAGAGCTATATCATGTCTGCAAAAGAGAACAGAGTGGGCCTAGTGGCCAAGACAGTTCAGCATTCAGCCCAGTTTTCTAGTTTGTATGTGGACTTCACATCATTCTAGTTTAAGTAATATAATATTCCTTTTCTGTGAAAATTCTGTAAGGCTTGCCTTTGATCGGGTTTTGGATGTTTAAGTGAAATGCTATAGGTCTGTCAATAAATGGAATACTCTAGGAAAATTTTACTAAGATTTGATACAACAACTAGATGCCTAATTTGTCCCAGAAATCTTTTTTTAATATTTTTAAAAATTTATTTATTTGAGAGAGAGAGAGAGCATAAGCAGAGAGGAGGGGCAGAGAGAAAGGGAGGAGCAGGCTCACTGATGAGCAGGGAACCCAATTTGGTTCTCTGTGCCAGGATCCTGGGATCATGTCCTAAGCTGAAAGCAGACACTTAATTGACCGAGTCATCTGGGGGCCCCATCCCAGAAATCTTACACCAGATTTTTTGTTTTTGTTCTGGGGGTGGTAGGAGGGACTTCAAAACCATTTGAAGGTGACCGTTAAGTAAAAGAATACAAATACTATAAGGTTTTGATGTTCTCTTAACCTTCTTTCACCAGAATTTTAATTTTAACATGTGACAGAAAAAATACTGGTCATGTTGGTGGGCTTGAGTTGTTTAAATGGTCATCTTCAGTTCTGATTGGGTTTTCTTTTTGCTTAAACAAAAGTCATGAGATTTCTCTAAATTTTTAGTTCACGAATGAATTCTGGAAGGAAATTATTCCAGAAGATTAGTAATAAAGTTGTTACATCCAAAGGTGAATAAATCTCTCTCTCTCTCTCTCACACACGCACACACACACACACACACACACACACCATAAAATGGAATTAGCGAATTGGACTAGCCAAACCCCTGTGGATTCTGCTCTGAAGCTATTGAATCTCAGTATTGGGAAAATATCTAACAGTTCCTTGAAATTGTATTAGTCCCATCCATCAGTATGCAGTAATGGCTTGTAAAGCTCTCCAAGCTTTCTGACTTTCGAGTAGCAGATTTGGGGGTAGGGTGAGCAAGAAAATTAATAAGCTTATAGTTCTAATTCAGATATGAAAACCTTTAGCTTATTAAATTTTTGTAATATCAGTATTTTGCTGATAACAACACCACAAATGCGTTTCAGGAAATTTTGATGTTCAATAAATCATATGAAGATGATACTAATAAAATAATTTGTCTATTTCTATTTTTGTAAATTGACTATTTAAATATTGCAAAGATTATTTTTGTTTTAAAATCTATATTTTAATACTGTGGGTCACTTAATTCTTTTGGGAAATCAGCATATAATATGTTGTCAAGAATTCAGATATAATCATTTCATGTGAAAGGCACAGATTCAGTTTGAAATAACTTTTATTCAATGCAAAATGTATTTTCTTTTGGCAAAATTAGAGTTTTCTCTAATTTCCTGTCTGTAACTTTATAAATAAAATGTATTACTTGGCTTGAAATCTTAAAATTATTTTTCTATTGGAAGTTAGAGCAATCTCATAAAGTTTTTAAATAAATTGTTCTTGAAAATGTATTCAGTTTTGATTTAAAATAAAGCTAAGCTTTGTTATACATTGTGGCAAATACTTACATTTTATAAAACAAGCTTTACCTGTATTTAGTCAATATAGTTTTTAAAATAGGGTTATGGGTACAAATAACCTTCTGCAGTATATTGAGGAAAGATGAAATTACATTCATAAGTCCCCCTTTATAGTTAGGATAACATTCATTTTTAAAACTATATCTGTAGCAGTGAATTGTGCAAAACAATATACATGTAACATTTACATTTTTAGGAACTGAAAAATACAGAGTTCTGTGTTGTTTAAGTTGGAGACTGTCTCTCTTCAGTCAATAGGCTTGATCATCATCTGAACTGCTCTCAAGGAGTATGACCCGCCTCGATATTCAGCCCAGAAAATTCCATCTTGGTACTTGCTTCTGTAATGACCTCCTCTGTACCATACTCCATTTAGGTTAGAATGTGCACAGGCATTGTACCACCATCCTCCTTTATGAAAATGGGCACAGTTTCCTTTGATGAAAAAAATAGAGATAGCAAAGTAAAGGTTTCTTCTATGTGCAGTACTCTGCAAACCATCAAAAACTTAAGCTACCTTTGGGACTATTTGAGTTTTTCTTACTTATTTCAGTTACCTTTTATCTGTGTGGTTTTGTTTCTTCATTCATTCTGTTACTGCTCCTGAAGTATCAGCTACTTGAAATATCACTTGAATTGCCTTTATCTTGCCCTTTGCTTGTTTACTACATGCTTTTTTTTTAATTGATTTAATTTTGGGGTAGCAGGGTAAATAAAACACAAATAGCGTTTGTGAAAGAGAAAGAGGGAGAGGGGAGAGATTGGGAAGGAAAGATACAGAGTTGCTAAAAGTAAATTTGGGAAAATTCAATTATTAAAATAGCACAAAATAATATAAAAGAGAATAGCCCTGCCAGTGGTCAGATGTGTTTCTGTAAATATGGTGTATACTTTGGTTACATCTCTCTCTTTTTTCCTCTTTTGCCATTGTAAAATAGGTTAGCGTAGAGACCTACATGCTTCTGGCCAAGATACAGCTGAAAAGTAGATCAGTTTTCAGGAGGGATATCTCTTTATCGGGGCCACAAATCTGGGTTAAAAAGGCAAAAAAGCCTGGGTGGCTCAGCCGGTTAAGCATCTGCCTTTGGGTCAGGTCATGATCCCAGAGTTCTGGGATCAAGTCCCACATCCTGCTGCTTGCACAGTGGGGAGCTTGCTTCTCCCTGTCCCTCTGCCTGCTGCTCCCCCTGCTCGTGCACACTCTCTCTCTGACAAATCTTTTTTTTTTTTTTTTAAAGGAAAAAGTATATGAAAATTAATGTTAAGAGTTTTTAAAAGACTTTATCTGTCTATCTATCTATCTATCTATTTGTTTGAGACTCTGCTTGCACAAACAGGAGGGGAAGAGGTGCAGAGGGGGAAGCAGGCTCTCTGCCAAGCAGGGAGCCCAATGCGAGCTCAGTCCCACTACCCTGAGATCATGACCTGAGCCAAAGTCAGATACGAGCCACCCAGGTGCCATAGTGTTAAGTGTTAAGTCTGGATTGCCTAACTGATTTTAAAGAGAATATTAATTTCCCCACTGAGTAAAGCTTTTTTGCTGTCCTAACACATGTTGCAGTCGTACTATTCCCTTCCATGTAAGTACTAAGAAATGCCTTTATCAAAGCCATATCCCCAAATGGCTGGCCTCCTTCACTCCCTTCAGGTCTTTATTCAAATGTTACCTTCTCAAAGTAACCTTTCTCGGCCACTCTGTATAAAATAGCACCCATTTTACTCCCTGCTGCTCATCACTCACTGTTCCCTCACTGGTTTTATTTTTATTAGGGTACTTGTCACCACCTGACAAATCATTTTGTCTCCTGGAGAATAAGCTCTAGAAGGGCAGGAACTTTTTTCATTGCTGTATCCATAGCACCTGCAACAGTGCCTGGCATGTGGTAGGTGTTTAGTTAGTAGTAGTTATGGATTTCAGGCATTGTTTTGTTTCCAGGTGAATTGAGTTTTTGCTGTTTTCCCCCCAAGCCCCCATCCCAGCCCCTGGTTGGAATGATAGAACTTTGCGTTTCATAGAGTTCATTCACACTTTGGGCTTGCCTTATAGAAGAGATACTAACCTTTTGGCAGCTTATGTAACCTGTGATTGAGTCCAAAATTAACTTTCTGGAAAGATTTTTAGTACCATATACTTTAATAGCAGGGTTCTCTGTAATGCATATAGAAGTTAGTTGTTCTGCAAAGAATACACATCAGTTTTTCTTACTCACCTGCATACATATCTTTATCTCTGTCCAGTGTGGTGAACTGTTTACCATTATGCCACATCATGGAATCCCCTGCATTTCCCTGGTAAGTTCCCAGACGCAGTCTAAAGAATTCACTTTCAGGTTCCAGGCGAAAGCTGCTATATTCTGCGTAGACTTTTTTGTCACTCCAGTCTTCTAATTCAATCAACAACTTATAATTATCTTGATTGCTAAGCATATAGATATTTTCCAGTCCAAGCCAATATTCTCCATCAATGTTTCCAAACCCTTTCTGTTGATAAACAAACAGCATGAGGGCATAAATAAGTGTAGAGATAGTAAACTTCTTTACAGATAAGTTTTAAACCTTTGATAAATACTCACCATTTAGTGAACTTCCCTTTTAATAGGTTGCCTGATTTTTACAAGCCCCACATAGTCATTTTGTTTTGTTTTGCTCTCTCTTACTTTGTCTATTCATTTGAACAGCTAGCTTCAAACTTTACAGATCAGAAAAAGGCAAAAGAGAATGAAAATTATTCCTAGCTACTAAAAACATCAACTAATAAGCTACCCAGATCTCTGAAAAGGATTCCTAATCTCTCTCATGCACAAAGAGCCAAAATTTTCTTTCTAAGAGTATATTTGTAACTGTCCCTCTCCACCCTGATAGCCAAACAAAAAGGGTATTTAACATCTTATGATCACTCAGTAAAAATGATAGTATTCTGTTGTTAAAGCACATTGTCTTCTTTAGTTCTGTTACAATTAAATATCAGAAGATACAGCAGTAATCTTCAGAGTTCCACCTTGGAAAAGTTGTTGACTTTTTTTAAAAAATAAATCAAGGAACTCTTCTGTTTCCATAAGCGTTCACCACGGTAGGTAAACAGCACAGCCTAAGGCTCAGTAAACCTCATCTTAACACTACCTGTGTTCTCAAGAAGATTGTTTTGCAGGACTTTTTTTCCCCTAGTTACTTGCTTAGAAATAACTTCTAACATGGATGTATTAATGTCTCAGTTTTAACTGCCAGTAAAATGTCACCTGAGTAATCACCTGACTTACGTAATTCTGAATGAAGAATTGACCATGTAGAAAATGTAATCTCACCCCCCATCTGCCATCCTTGAACTGGAGGGTGTATACCACTCCTACAGTTAGCATGTAAACATCAAAATTATTAGCAAGGACTGGTTGCTTACTTTTCCAAAATGACTGCTGCAGGGCTCTGGTCCCGTGTGACAGTCAGGGGTACGTTACTTTCCAGCAGCACCAGCCTTTGGGGTAAGCAGTTTACAACATGAGGGGACAGTTATCAGAGGTAATCAGTCCTAGAGAAATGGTCATTTTTTTGAAGTTCTGTAGTTCATATTGCTTAAATACAGTTGCTGATCATAACGTGGTCATAAACAAAAAAGCAGTTGTCTTTTTAGAAAATGGAATCAGCAGTAGTCTTCGCTAAGAATTAAATATATGTATAAATCATCCAGACTGAAAACAGGCAGTTGAAAGGATAACTTCATTTTCCCTTTTACCTTTTAATTTTGACTTTAAAACTGGAGAGTAGATAATGAAAAATATGTGGATAGTTATTTTTAAACTGTATTATTTATTTGCACAGAATGGTTACTTCTATAAGAGCTGCTATGTTCCACATTCCCGGATCGGAATCACTGATTTACCTTATAATTTTCCCAATTTCTGAAGAAGTTGACAGAGCCGTCTGTTCTTTTCTGAATAACAGTCCAACCCCCAGGATCCAGACTGTTCTCACACCATAACTGTATTGGTCCATTGCTGTTTTCAGGTTTAATCATATAAATCCCACTGACTGAATGTCCAGCTTCTTTTGCATGCTGACAGTCTTTGAATGGTCCTATAATGAAAATGTCATTGATTACCAGGAAACTTAATAGGAACAGAGCCATATTGAGATAGTTTTTAATCAAAAGTCTTCCCTTTACAGCTTTCTTTATAAAGATAGCACTTTTTATCTGTTATATACACAACACCATAAAAGTTTAAGAAACCAAATAAAAGAAATTACCCCAGTCCCACTATATGGATGATTAACTTGTTTCATTTTCCACTGTTCTTGTGTTTGTCCATAGAAAAACATTTTTATATTGTCATCATTCTGACACACATAGAAAGTTGGATTCTGTCTTTTAACAGAAATTGTGGTGGGACTGCAGTCATTCTGACACTTTTAGTAGCTGTAATATAAATTTTTAACATTGATACATCATTGTTTATTCCTTTGTCATTGGATATTGAGGTTTCATCTGATTTTTGCTATTATAAAAGTATACAAAGTGTCATCTTATTGGCTTCATTTTTTTCAAATAATTACTTATAAAAATGCTGTGGGATTGATCTACTGGATCAAGAGGGTGTGAACACTTTTATAGCTCTTCATAGTGCCTGGTTTACAGTTTCCAAAATTTGATTTCTGTGGAACACACTAATCCCTTGAGGTACTGAGTGAAAATGGCCAACCATGGTCAAATAAGTTTTATTATTGCTAAGTATTATATTACCCTTTTGGAAACCCACAGTGTGCATGCACATATGAAAGATTAAGAAGCCCTGAAATAAACCAGAGTTCCCCAAACTTAAAGAATCTGTTAACTTTTTCCCCTCATTCCATAAGAATACACTTCAGGAATGTTGGCAAAATGCCTTTCTAAAGAGTTGTATCAATTTATATGACGAACAGTAATTTTCTTATTTAGTCTACACAATGACCCTGTGATCGTTTACAGATGTGCTATAGATGCAACAGTTAACTCGTCTAAGGTCCTGTATCTTAGAAGGTAATAAGCCCTAGACGTAAACCCGTTCTTTGTAATCCCAGAGCCCATGCTCTGAACTGCCGGCTACATTTGCTCTTGTGTTGTTTTGTAGTTTTATGGGTTCCCTCCCAATTTTTAATACATGAGTAAGTTCTTCATAGCTTTTAAAATGATAAAACATTTTGTGAGATGTTTTGTAGAGGAGCTGACTCTTGAACTTGTGATTTCCACATTTTTTGGATCTGAAGAAAGATTGCTTCTAAGTTTTACTGAACAGTCTATAGTTGCACCATTCTTCAGTGTTTTGATCAATTGTTTTTTATAAGCATGTAAAAGTATTAAGTGATTCAGAAATAAGAATTACCCCACAGATCTTTTAGAACAACACAAAGTGTAGAAAACCCAGTTGTCAAACTTCATATTTTACTAGAAATATTTAAATTTTGACATGTGCAATTTTTAAAAATTATGTGAAAATAGAGTTTAGTCAAGTAAAGTTCATACAAGAAAATCCTCACTATAATGCTAATGGGATTGTTGAAATTTTAAGAAATGTGTTATCTACGCTGTGCCAATATATACAGGATTCATTTGGGGCTAACTGGGGAAAGATTCATCTCATTAAATAAATAATTACACAATTGCATCATTAGAAGGGGTTCTTAGAGACTGAACTCTTGCCTCTAGATTGCTCTTTGAGAATGGTGACTATTTTCATTTTTCTTCTGATTGCACATTATCAGTGTTTTAACTATTGGCGGGTAATCATTGATATTTTTTCAATCGAAATTCAGTTAATTAACGTATAATGTATTATTTGTTTCAGGGGTACAGGTCTGTGATTCATCTTACACATCTTACACAGTCTTACACAACACCCAGCACTCACAACACATACCCTCCCCAATGTCTGTCACCCAGTCACTGCCTCATGGCCTCCCCATCCCCCTCCCCCCACCCCTCCCCTCCAGCAACCCTCAGTTGGCTTCCTAAGATTAACAGCCTCTCGTGGTCTGTCTCCCTCTGTGGTTTCATCTTCTTCATTTTTTCCTCTCTTCCCCTGTGATCCTTTGCCTTGTTTCTTAAATTCCACGTATCGGTGAGATCATAAGATAATTGTCTTTCTCTGATTGACTCATTTCACTTAGCATAATACCCTGTAGTTCATCCACGTCATTGCAAATGGCAAGATTGCATTTTTTCTGTCAGTCTTTTTTTAAGTAAATGAATTAATTAACTTGCCTTCATGTTTTAAATATTTTATTAATTTATTTGACAGAAAGATCACAAGTAGGCAGAGAGGCAGGTAGAGAGAGGGAGGGAAGCAGGCTCCCTGCTGAGCACAGAGCCTGATGTGGGGCTCGATCCTAGGCTGATCCTAGGCCGAAGACAGAGGCTTAACCCGCTGAGCCACCCAGGGGTCCCGCCGTCACATTTTAAATACAAGACAATTGAAAACCACAGACAAAATCAAGTGATGGATCTATTTCTCTAGCCCACATTTTTTTAAAAAATATTTTATTTATTTATTCGACAGACAGAGATCACAAGCAGGCAGAGAGGCAGGCAGAGAGAGGGAGAAGCAGGCTCCCCGTTGTGCAGAGAACTGGATGCGGGGCTCAATCCCAGAACCCCGAGACCATGACCTGGGCTGAAGGCAGAGGCTTAATCCACTAAGCCGCCCAGGCGCCCCTCTAGCCCACATTTTAATGTTTTATCGATATTTCTGTTTCAGAGTTTTTATAATACAGTGACTAAACACTACATAATACTAGTAAAAATTTTGAAAAACTACTTGTAAAGACTTAATGCTGTCTTTCTTGGGTTACATTTATTTTAGGTATTGAATTTTTTAGTTCTAGAGTTTCAGTTTTTGTTTTTGTTTTTGTTTTTAGGTAGGCTCCATGCCCAGCATGGAGCCCAGTGCAGGGCTCGAATTCACAACCCTGAGATCTGAGATTGAGTTGGTTGCTTAACTGACTGAGCCACCCAGGCACCCCTCAATTTGATTTTTTTAAATAGTTTTTAATTTCTCTTCTGCAATTTCCAGGCTTTCATTCATTACAAACATGTCCTTTAAGCTATAACAACTACTTCAAAAATTCTTGTTCCTTCTGTTCCTAGTTTTCTAAGCGTTTTATCATGGTGGCTTTGGATTTTGTCAAAAGCGTTTTATTTATCTATTGAGACAACAGGGTTTTCTTTTTTGTTTGTTAATAGGTAAATTCTGTTGATTATTTTTTGATGTTAAACCAACCTTGTATTTCTGGAATAACCTTGACTTGGTCATAGTGTATTATTATTTTTAAAGGTTGCCAGATTTGCTAAAATTTTGTTGAGAATTTATGCTTCTGTATTCATGAAGATACTGGTTAGCCTGTGAAAGCTTATAAATGGGTTCTTAAGCTAGGGAAGACTATGATAAAAGTAACATTTCTGAGCTTATCAGACTGGCCATAAGTTAGATCATACTCCATTAAAATTCAGTGAGAATTATTTTTATATTATCTACCTTATCAGTTACTGAATCTAGATGACAAAGTATTCAGAGCTTTTTACACAATACTTTACAGAGTAGCATCATCATTAACTGTTAGTAGCCTTTTGTCCTTTGTTGCTATCCCTAATGCACAGCAGTAACTCCTTTAATAAATATATGCTTATTTAATAAATTTAATATGGCTAATCAAAGATGAATGTATAGTCATGTCTATTGTAGAAAATACTGTATTCCTGAAAACCCTTATGTTCTATAAAATATTGCACCAAAATTAACAGCTGATGTTAGCTGTTAAATACTCCCAAGGAGCTAGTATGACCTCTTTGTTTTACTGATACTCTCCTTCTTTTTTACCAGTCATATATGAGCTACTAAACATTACAGAAACATACATTGTAGTCAGATAAGAGAAGGATAGAAAGGTTGTAGTTCAGATAGGATGAAATTTATAGAACTTTAATTTTATATGTGGGAGTGAAATAGAAGGAAAAGTAAAGTCTAATTTCCGGGTCCATTTTTGGATTGCTTTGTGTATTGCATGGTAATATATTCATTTGTTTACTCATACAGCTCTCCATGGCAAAGATTGTATCTTTTGGTTGCCTTTCCACAGGGGAGGCCCACTTAGACACTCAAATTTATTGAACTCAGTGATTGCTGGAGCCACCGTGGTTTCCAGAATTTCCTCAGTTGTGCATTTTTTCCAGATGTGTCTATCTGCATCAACAATAGGCTAGAAAATTTTAGTCTCGGGTGGTAAAGAAACAACCGTAGAGTCAAGTGGGAAATGGGGGAAATGGCAAGTAAAGAGAATTCCTTAACAATATGATAGGTACTTTGATGGAGTTCTGTAGGGCACATGGGACACTGGCCAGAAATAACTAACCCAGACTAACAGAGATAAAAGTCTACTTATATGTGAGCAGAATCTTGAAGATTGAAGAGGAGTTAGGCCTGTGGGGGTAAGGAATCTGATCACGGCCACACATGAGTCACCGGAGCTGAGGGATGGAATCCAAAGAGAGCTTGATGTTACAGAGGAGTTATAAGTCTAGTACGTCTGAGATGTAATGGCTAAGGGGGACACTTGGAGCCCTTGAGGTTGCCTGTAGAGTTGAAATTGATTCTTCAGTGTAGTCACACTTTTTTTAAGTTGTCACTTCCAGAATAGTCAAGGATATCTGAGGAATATTGCTCTTACTTTGAACTCTGTTGTAGTTAATGCACATATGAAGTAGTCTTGTTGGAATCCACATAAATACCTCTCATTTCAGAAATTTGCTTATTCTTATAAATACCACCTTTATATTGTTTGTTTTATGAATGTCATTCTTCTAAATATTTGCTCTGCACTCATTTAATTATAGTTTTGACAATTTACATTTTATATTTAAGGATATATTCAGCAGTTGGACTTTAATTAGGTTATTTGAATAGCTTAAAATACTTAGAAACATCAAGCTTTTGAGTGTTACAAAGTCTTTGTAAAATAGTATTTGTTTCTTCTCTGCTATTTAAAAGGCCCTTGGATATTTAACCAAATTGGAGAGTTTTGGGTTTCCTAAATCCCGCTTTCGTTTG